GCCAGAATAAGAAATGGAGGATTAAAAGAATGATTGGGGTTCCTGGAAATCAATTAAAACAGAATAGGGATGCATTCCCGCGTCATCGGGGCTCTTGGACCTCTACCAATTAAAAAATGAATAGGAACGCATTGAATATCTCGTTTTTCAGGATTGGTGCCTCAAAAAAATTCTTTAAATCTAGTCCCTTTTCCCCGAACGAAATTCCACCTAATTGAAATTAGTCTTGGACGGCTAATTTTCCCCCCTAAAAAATACTTAAATATGGTCCTATTTATTAATCTAGTGCTCGGATTAGGTCAGATGTACTCCCCAAAGGGTCCTAAGTACCAATTGGGAATACTTACCCAAACCATGATGGAAGTTACTACTACAGAAACCATACCTTGTACCATATAAGTACTTTGGACCCTTTGGGGTCATTTCATTGGAAACAATTCCTCTGGACCCATGGTCCATGCACTGTTCTTTCGGCTTGCCTGTGGTTTTGTGTCTGTATTTATAGCGGTGCACATGATTGAGACCATCTTGGGCTGGGCATGCTAGTCGTTGTGTTCCTGGTACTTGCGATTTGTTGGATTTTTTTTTAAAAGCAATTTCTGGATTTCAGTCTGATGAGAACTTCGTGAGCTTTTTTCAGGTAGCTGCCTGATTCCCTGTGCTTACCCAGTTTCCTGAGTCAAGGTTTTGGTAAAATCGAGAATAGTCAAGCCTCTTCTGCGGCATCCGGAGCTGCCGGAGGTCTTGGTATGCATCTTGCGCAAGGTTGATGATGAGCGTAGCCCGCGTATGCCAGAACAGCCATCAAGCCAAACTCCCGAGCCAGCATCTTCTGCGAGATGCTGGTTGATGTAGCCTCAGAGAATTGTCTGATGTGGGTTGCAGATCCTTTGCTTATAACAGTTTGCACTCAAAGAGGTCTGTTCTCTCATCAGGGAACACTGGGTGGCGCTCGGATGGTGATGACGTTCTGCTGCCCACCTGTTTGGCCCAACTCCCTGCGGCTCCCTGCGCCTGTCTGCCTTGTGCTGACCAAAAACACCGTAAGAAAAGCTCGTCCGTGATCTCGAAGTGTCGCAAGGAGCCGCGTGCCATGGTGCTAGCATCGCGTCCTTCGCTGCAGCTCTTGGGGCAAGCTTCGCGCTGGGCATGCCGTTTCTTTGCTCAATCTCTGTCCTTGCGGCACAAGCTCGGCTTATGTGTACACTGTGTACAGCATGGGCAGGTTTACAACACCGATGTGGTCGCTTCCGAACATGGTCGCGCAAGCTGCGGTAAATCAGGCCTTTGTGCATGTCTTGGATGCCCTTAGTGAATAATGCAGGGATTGCTTCAGTGCACATACTCTTTCGGGGGGTCTGTGCAGCTGGAAGATTGAACCAGAGCCATGGCCTTTTCCACCCGCTCTCATGCTTTTGTTTTTCTGAGACTCCGAGAGCAAATCCTCTCCGCAAAGAGATTTCATGAGCTCCAAAATTCTGGTCAAATGGTGGCTGACAACAAGAGCTGAAAAGCATTGATGTCTCTTTGCTGTTTGGTTCAGAGGGCCATACATCAAAGACGGGCCTAATCCAAAAAAGTGGAGAGATGTGGAGAGGTAAAGTTCCTAGTAGTCAAAAGCAGTATAGTCTTTAATTGTGCTATCCGAGATGTAGGTTTGGCAGGTATGTGCAAGTCTAGCTGCCTCGACCAGGCAACTTCTAGTGTCACATATTGATGTTGCGTACCATTCTTAGCTTAGCTGGGAAGTGATTGTTCATTGTAGCGATGCTGTTGGCTCGCCACAAGACATTTGCTCCACCGGAGTGGACATGCCCAAATTGCCGACGAGGACTGCAGACGCTGGACTGCTGGTGTGGCAAAGGACTCCCCGATGAGCCCACTCCGCCACTGTTTCAGGATCTCTTCAAGAGCCAGAAACATTATGACCAGATCTTGCGGCAAGAGCCTTTCGCCGACATGCGGCTGAGGCTTTTGGGCAAGGGCCAGCGTCAGCTGAAATCTCAGGGAGAGTATCTTCTGAGCCACATGGGCCTGAACAAGCATCAGGTGCAGCTTTGGAAGGACACGGACACCGAGCGCAGATATCGACTTATGCGGACAGCCTCACTGCCCAGTGACACGAAGAGCACTGCATCGGATGCGCTGTCTGAGCGGCCCTCAACCTCGTATTCTGCCACGGAGCGGCGGGTTCCACAAGATCCTGTTCAAGCCATCTTGATGAAAGGCCCACCATCCTTCTCTCCCGCTATGGCCGGCCTTGCATCTGCCGCCTTGGCCTAGCATGGCTTAGCCAGTCGTTTGTTTCACCAAGGGCCTAATCCAGCCAGTCATGAAAGTGCATCCCAAGGAAGCAAAAGAGGGAGTTTCCAACCTTGCGGAAGTGGCACCTAAATAACAGTTTCCATTCTCCTTTCCATTATCCTTATATGCCCCTATTAACCTATATAACCCCATACCCTAGGCTACTGTAGGATTCAGGTTTTGGGCTTCCCATCTACCCTAAACCCTAAACCCTAAATTTTAAGGGTAGCTACTATAACGGAGAATCAAATGGAAAAGAAAATGGAAAATGAAATGGAAACTGGGACTTCCCATTTTCACCTTGAAGCTGATGGCATCAAACATCGTCCCCCGCAGGCTCAATTTGCAGATGAGACGGACATGCCTGTCACACAGATCACACCTGTACCCTGGAC